GCCCCCACAGTAGATTTGCCCACTCCAAATTGATTGCCGACTGACCGGTAGCTGTCTGGCGTTGCAAGCTTCCACAGGGCTATCGCCACTCGCTTCTCAACTGTGAGGGCTGCTCTCATCTTGGTATTCTGGCATTTCAGGGCAGGGAACAGCAAGTCACAAAGTTCCATGAAAGTGCCCTTACGTATGCGAAAGTTTTGCAGCCACTGGGAATTGTCCCACACCTGCAACACTATGCGGTCCCACCAGTCTGTGCTTGTTTCCTGGGCCCAGAATCGGCGTTCCACGGATAGAACCTGCCCCATTAACAACATGATCTCCAAAGCACCATGGCCTGCGGTTTGAGAGAATTCTGTGTCCATGTCCATGTCCTCATCACGCTTGTCGCTGCGCTGCCGTCGCCGCCGCCTCCTCACCTCGTTTTTCTGGTCCTGGCTCAGCATAAACTGCACGAGAACGCACCAGGTGTTTACAATGTTCATGTCTGCTGTCTTGAGCTGAGCGGGCTCCATGCTTGCCGTGGTATGGAGTCTGCAGTGTTCACCCAGGAAAAAAGGTGTGAAATGGTTATCTGCCATTGCTTTCATGGAGAGAGAGGTGAGGCTGTACCCAGAACCACCTGCGACAATGTTTTTTGCCCCATCAGGCACTGGGATCTCAACCCAGAATTCCAATGGGCAGGAGTGACTGCGGGAACTATGGGATAGCTACCCACAGTGCAACGCTCCAGAAATCGACGCTAGCCCCGGTACATGGATGCACACCGCCAAATTAATGTGCTTAGTGTGGCCGGATACATTCGACTTTATACAATCCGTTTCCAAAATTCGAATTATATAAATTTGGATTAATCCCGTAGTGTAGACATATCCTTATACTTAGCCCCCGCGCTTAGGAGCTTATAGTCTATCTCTTTGTGTGTTTGTAGAGCACCTAGCATAATGGAGTCTTGGTCTGTGACTGGAGCTTGTTTGACCCATCACTATTTCATCTCTGTGTGAAATGAAACAACTCTTCAATAGTACCTAGCAACCCTGTTTAACAGTTGGAAACAAGCAATGTAGAATACTTTCTCCAGCTGTGATTGAGACATGTCTGTGTGGCTGACTGAAAGAAAGTTGTCATTGTTTGTTAACCTGCCATTAAGCTTATCTTTCCATTGATCGTAATTGAAACTACATTTCAAAATGTGTGCCAGCTGTCCAAATGCATTTGTGGTCATTAAACTTCATGCAGCATGCTAGTCTCATTAAAGACAATGCAGATGCCTACCCTGATTCTTATCAGACCACTTCCATCAGTGGTGGTGTCCGGTGTTCATTTTTTGCCTGCCAACACAACCTCAAAATTCCATCCTATGGGAACAGGGAATTCTATCAACTCTTAAATGTGTGTACACTGCTAAACTGTTTACTAATGTCCTTGACGAGGAAAATGAGCAGCTGACTTTAATGGATTCAATTAAGAAGCTATTATAAAAGATGCCTCTTACTTATTGGCTGAATTGTGGTCTAAGGTTTGGCAGGAAACAATAGCCAGATTTTCTGGAAAAATCAGAGGTCCTACATAAATCCAAACCTGAGCCAGATACAGTATCCCAGGAAACTGAGGCAACAAATGAGCTGCATGCAACTTCTGAGCAGACAGATTTGGAACCTGAGGCCAGCCGGAAATGGATGAATTGTGAGGCTCAGAATGAGGGTTGTGGTGAGCTGTTGGACAAAGATATTATTAACATTGCCCAGAAAAAGATGACGCTCATGGACACAGTTGAAGAGGACAATGAGGAGTCAAAGGTAGAAGCGCCTTTGGATCAGGCACCTGCTACCTCTGAAGCAGATGCTGCATTTAGCCAGTGTTTACTCTGGATGGAGAGTCAACATAGTGATTACCTGCACATCTTGCTCCTCTGGAAGTTACACATAGTGGCAGTAGAAAAATTACATTGCACTAAAAAGCAGGCTGCTATAACAGAGCTCTTTGCTGTATTGTAGCTGATTACTGGGACTGCCTATGATTCTGTATTCAGTGTGCTTTGTGTGAGCTAGCATTCCCTGGCAACCTGATTATTTTGTCATCTACTTTTCAATAAATGTGCATTCCTTAATGTATTTTATTAAAGTGGTAATCTGACAATTTACTCCCCTACCCCCTGCTGCTTATTCAATGCCCTCTTGATTATCAGAACTCTGAATTTATCCAAATAAAATGACCCCCGCCATGTCCCCCTAGGGGACTGGACTAGATGACCTCTTAAGGTCCCTTCCAGTTCTATGATTTTATGCTATTCAGGTGAATGGAAGTACACAGTAATTGTCCAGCTAAACCGGAAGTAGTATAGGAGACACTGGCTCTGGATTAGGCCACAAATTTATTACTAACAGTCTGGGAGCATGTGGTGGATAAGCGTACAGTGCATGTTTTCCATTCCTTTAACACACCATTTATCCAATAACTGTATCCCTTTCCTATGGAGCGCCTGCCCTGGACATCCACCTCAAGAAGGAACTAGCAATTAGCTTGGCTCCCTCTCCCACCCCTTCCCATACCCTAGGGTTACCATATTTCCCCAATCAAAAAAGAGGACACTGGGGGGGGCGGAGCCCCGCTCTAGCCCCACACCCACCCCGCCCCATCCACTCCCTCCCACTTCGCACCCCCCTGACTGCCCCCCTCAGAACCTCCAACCCCCCCCTGCTTCTTGTCCCCTGACTGCCCCCTCCTGAGAACCCCCCACCCTAACTGCCCCCCAGGACCTTACCTGTCCCCTGACTGCCCTGACCCTTATCCACACCCCCACCCCATATTCACACCCCCACCCCTAAACAGACCCCCCCCTGGACTCCCACACCCCATCCAACCACTCCCCACCCCCTGACAGGATCCCCAGAACACCCGACCCATCCAACCTTCCCCCGTGCTCCCTGTCCCAACTGCTCCGATCCCTTTCCACACCCCCGCCCCCTGACAGGGCCCCCCCCCCAGAACTCCCGACCCATCCAACTCTACTCCCTGACTGTCCCCCGGGACTCCCCTTACCATGCCCATGCTGGTCAGATGCTGGTCAGATGCTGGCTCCACGTGGAGGCAAAACACTCTGTCGGGCTGCAGGCAGCAGGGGAGGGGCTCTGGCTGCTGGAGGCCAATGGGAACAGCTTAATCAGGCCCAGCCACCCAATCAGCCACGGCGCACTCTGCATGGAAGGGAGGGAGGGGGAAACATCCCAGACCTTTTAACCTTATTACCAATTCCTCCCAGACGGCTATTTAAAGACAAAAAAGTCGGACATGTCCGGGGAAATACGGACAGATGGTAATCCTACCATACCAAGCTGGGTTCCCAGACACTTCCTAATGTCCCCTTTAATATCAACCAAAAACATGTCAGCCTCCAAGGATGAACTTTATCCTCCCTGAATAATTCTGGTGCCCCATATGCTATGTTGGTTGTGAAATTACCAACTTTCTATGACCCCCTATGAATTTGGCCACCTCCTTCTTCACATACCTCCTAGCTTTGTCAACCAGAGAGGTCTTCACAGCTCTCACCTCACCTTTCAGCATGTGAATACAATTTTTATACCTGGGAAAAGTTCCAAGAACTAAGAGGGGCTATGCATTAAGGCTACCCCTTTACACCTTCCCAAATTATTTTCCCCAAGGTCCACCACAATTATATCTGATGCCCACTCATGGGCCCCCACGGTGTACAGAAGGGGCATCAGCTGGTCCCATAACATGCCATCTCAGGACTGCTTCATCACCGAGCCCCAGTTGTGAACCCTCAGACAATCTGGAAGCCTGCCTATACACCCAGTAAACAATACTGTGCCCACAGATTTACACCACCATCTGCCTGGCCCATCTTCCTGCACCTGGAATGAAAACACAATGGAAAATTAACACTGGTTTCCCCATGTGGAGGTCTCATTTGTGGTCTGTACACTTCAGAATGCCAACAGTCAGTTGCCTGAATTGCCCTAGCCCCCATACCCAGCTCTGCCATTGCTGCAGCAGTCCTGAATGAGTAGGAATCAAGTTCATGTGCTGGGAGCCCCAATCTTGTCAGTCCCCATCTCAACATGTAACCAACTGATATGCTGTGAGAGGACTCCTGTCACTGTGCATAGGGAGGGGCCCATTCTTCCCTGGTCTTATTGCCATGTATGCCCTGAAAGCCTCCACTGGGCAGACCCCAGGCTTGCCTCCTTCCTGTAGGTGTATAGATTTACCGCAGCCTCCTTGATCAGTCTTTGATGTGCACAAATTTAAAATAACTGCTGGCCCCTCCCAGGGCATATCCCGCAATTCCAAAGCCCTTCTAGAAGAATCCTTATAGGACTTAGATACCAAGAACATAAGAATGGCCATAGTGGGTCAGACCAATGGTCCATCTAGCCCAGTATCCTGTCTTCCGACAGTGGCCAATGCTGAGTAATTCGGAGAGAATGAACAGAACAGAACATCGAATGATACATCCCCTGTTGTCCACTCCCAGCTTCTGGCCAAAAGAGGCTAGGGATACCCAGAGCATGGGACTGCATGCCTGACCATCTTGGCTAATAGCTATTGATGGACCTATCTTCCATGAATTTATCTAAAATGTTTTGAACTCCATTATAGTTTTGGCCTTCACAACATCTCCTGACAATGAGTTCCACAGGTTCACTGTGTTGTGTGAAGTAGTACTTCCTTTTGTTTGTTTTAAACCTGCTGCCTATTAATTTCATTGGGTGACCCCTAGTTCTTGCATTATGTGAAGGAGTAAATAACACTTTTATCTCCACACCATTAACAATTTTCTAGACCTCGATCATACCCCCTCCTAGTCGTCTCTTTTCCAAGCTGAAAAGTCCCAGTCTTTTTAATCTCTCCTCATATGGATATCATAATCATTTTGGTTGCCATTTTCTGTACCTTTTCCGTACCTTTTCCAATTCTAAAATGCTATTATCAACCCCGGGAACTGTTTTGATGCAGATGCATTGTCTTGTTTTCAGATGGATGGATTTTGGGAGCTGCCACCAGAAGCCAGCAAGTAACCCAAGTGGATGCTTCTAAGTTCTAGCACTATGGAACCTTGGGGTATGATGGTTTTCACTGGAACATAGAGGTCAGTGGCTTTGCAGGCATTGCAGAGCTATGAGAGATTTTACTGATTTTTGTGCAATTTCAGGATCTGGAAGGCTGGTCACCAACACATGTTACAGAGGAATGTGTGCTGCAGTACATGGTGTCTTTCGTACCCCGATGACTGGCATCCTCAACCATCTCCAATCGCCTATCTGTCCTTATGTTTGTCAGTAGGCTGAATGGTTACCCAGATCCAGGCCACTTGAATCAATTCTCTCCTGCCTGTCCCACCTGCAAATGCAGCCAGCTCACCCACAGGCATTTCTTTTCCCTGGATCCACCTCAGTTGATCCACCTCAGTTTATCCTTTGATAAACAGACAGACTACCCTGAGATCTGCCAGCCCCAGTCAAGTTTCCAGCCCCTTGTCCAAGAGGCAAGGACCCCCATCCCCGTTCTAGCACTGCTGCTATGCCTAGCCGACAGGGGGAATCCCCTGCTCCCAATCTCACCCACTTGCTATGATTTGAATCAAAGCCTGAAACCTGATCTCTCTCACCTTCTCCCACAACCTGCCTGCTACAGTCCTGTTCCCATGCAGCGCCATGCAGATTGGAGAGCTGGAGTTCTTGCTGCTCTGCCTGGCTTGCACCTTGCACATATAATCTGCCCCTCCTCTGGTCACCTGAGGGATGAGTCAGCATCCCCATGCTGACCTGTTCTAAGTCTACAGCAATGTCCATGCCTCTCTACCCCTTAGAGATAAGGTGCGGTGTGGTCATTGTCTTGACCCTACTCTCCATTAACTTTGCATGTCTTGTAGGACCTCACTTTGACACACTGCACAGAACTTATACATAAAGCTGATCAGCTATTGATGGTTAGAAAATTGTGCCTTTTCTAGAATGATAGAGTATTCTACATCATGACACAACTATGGTGATTATTTTAAAGGTTTTACTCCAAGAAAGAGATTCACTTCTGCTTCATCTCCTGATCTCAGGAAAATGCACTATATTTTTGCACAACTGGAAAAAATGGCACTCTTGCAAAATTCTGGCAAAGGTGTTAGCAGATATTCCAAAATAAAATTTAACCTGTCATGAAACAATTTGTCTTGCTGAGACAAATAAATGGTTTCAGTGCTCAGTATGCACACACATATTTATTTGCAACATGTTGGTATGGCTTTGTTTTGGATTAAGTTCTTTAGTTATGACAAAGTGTAATTTCTCTATAAGGTTGCCCTTTGTGGGAGAGGGATCAAGGGAGTCCAAAGAAATGGATTTTGTATGTAGCTGTGCTATTCAATTGCTGTGTAACCTTGAACAAGTCACTTCACCTTTTTGTGCTTCAGTTTTCCTATTTATAAAAGGATCATTATGATACATAGAGACCTATTAAAAGTGCTCTGATGGAAAGCACTATCAGAGGTAAATATTCATTATTAAGGTATGAATTTCAAATGTAGAATTTATTACATATCAGTAGTTACAACTAGCATAGAATCATAGGGTTGGAAGGAATATTTAGCTTACTGTTTTCATCCCTGCACTGTTCACTGTAGCAGGGCAAATCTAATTATCCCTAAGCCATTTCTGATAGATGAATGACATGTTTAGCCTTGAATACCTTCAGTGAAGGTAATTCCACATCCTCCCTTGGTAGCTTCTTCAATAGTTCAAAATAAATTTTCCTTTAGTTCTAGAGCTTTACTCACTTTTTCACCATTGGCATTAAGTCCATTACTTCAAGTCCGATTCATTTTGACTAATGATTGTAATTGAGCTGTCTTTATAACACCCTGAATATATTTGTAGGTAGGTTCTTTTCTCTAGACGAAACATGGGTGGTTGTCTTGAACTGTCCCTTACAGGTTATATTTTTCAAAGTTTGTATCACATTGCTTTCCTTTACACCTTTTCTAATGTGCCTTATGAAAATGTGATGCATCCAGTGCTTTGAGGACTTATCAGTACTGAATAGAAAAAGCCTGTATGCTCTTATTAATATTTCATAAGCCTATCTAGGACCTGATTCTGACATTACTTACTGTGGTGTAAATCACAAGTAATTACTGAGATCAGTTAAATTTCTACCATGTTAAACCCATATAACTGAGATGGGAATCTCCTAGGGCAAAAGAATAAATGGACACAAATCAGACATCAGGAATAGTAGCATACAAAAGCCAGTAGGAAAACACTTCAATCTCCCTGGACAATCTATAACAGATTTAAAAGTAGCCATACTTGAACAAAAAAACTTCAAAAAACAGACTTCAAAGAGAAACTGCAGAACTAAAATTCATTTGCAAATTTAACACCATTAATTTGGGCTTGAATAGGGACTGGGAGTGGCTGGCTCACTACAAAAACAACTTTCCCTCTCCTGGCATTGATACCTCCTCATCAGTTATTGGGAGTGGACCACATCCACCCTGATTGAATTGACCCTGTTAACACTGGTTCTCCACTTGTTAGGTAACTCGTTTCTCTTCATGTGTCAATATAATAATGCCTGCATCTGTAATTTTCACTCCATGCATCTGAAAAAGTGTTTTTTGTATCCACAAAAGCTTATGCCCAAATAAAACTGTTAGTCTTTAAGGTGCCACCAGACTTCTCGTTGTTTTTCTAGGGCACAGTTTGCTTTTGTGGAGAACTCATGCAGAGCAAAGGAAATGCTGCAGATTTCAGCTGCAGATATGAAATCCTGACTCCACTGAAGTCAACAAAGTTTTGCTGTTAATTTTGATGATTTCACCCCATAGCTTCCTATTAATTCTTCCACAGAGGACACGGGGGTGAGGAGAAGAAGGAGGTAGAAGAGGGGAAACCACAGAACATAAGGGACATCCAAACAGTTGCCCCTTGCCTTTCTACTCTGCTGACCAGCCTCACCAGCTCCAATTCAGGCCTGGAGGAACCATATTTGCAGGGACTTCCCCTGTTACCATTTCCCTCGGAACTGTCTCTAAAGTAGAGGTTCTGCTTCACAGAGTGAAGCAACTTAAGTTAGCACCACTCCAGTCTCTATTAACTTGTGCTGCTTTTCCCCAGGCATTTTCTGGAGGGTGGAAAACACAAATCAGCATAGCCAGCTCCTCCCTATGGTCACCCTACCTTCAGCAGAAGCCTCTCAAGCCCCTCAAGGTAGGCAGAAGCTCTATCCTATCTGTTGGATGGGTTTCTCCAGGGTCAGGGAATAGAAGCATGTTTCAGAGACTGATCTTCCTTCCTTCCATGGACCCAAGTTCTCCAATATGGGTCCTACAGTATTTACATTTTCTGAGAATGCACAGAATTGTTGCATACAATTTATCATGCTCTAAAACCTCCATGTCCTTCTCTGCAGTACTGTTGCCTAACCTGTATTCCCCAACTATATATTTAAATAACTGATTATTCCGTCCTGTGTGAACTACCTTGCATTTGTCTTTATTGAACCACATTTTATTGATTTCAACCCATTGCTCTCATTTATCAAGATTATTCTCGGGCATCTCTGACAGGTACTGGATCTATAGTGACAAAATGTGTTTGAAGGTTTTGTTATGAATTTATTTTATTGCCAACAGCTCTTTGTTTAATCTCAGTTCTTAGTATGTGTCTCTGATTCTGACTTTTCCTTTGGTATAACATCTCGAAGACAGCACAAATAAGCCTTAATAGTCCTTTTCCCTCTTATTTATAAGACCCTTTCTATTCTGCAGCAATTTGGATTAAAGGGGTCTCCATTACTGTTAATTGGAGTAGCTCCACTGACTTCAAGGAAACAATACTGATTTACACCATCTGAAGATCTGGCCCAAATTCTGCAGAAAGGCACTATGGTTTTTATAGCACTCTGGTGCAACAAACTGAACATTCTGTAACAGATTAACTCACATTTAAGAAAAAATGGTTTTTAAAAATTGAATTATGTATATTCAATCAGTATATTCTTCCTGTTATTTATGATGTTAAAATTCAATTTGACATTCACCCAAATGTTTATTGAGGCAGATTTTTGCATTGACAACACACATGTGCATTTTAGAAGTCATTGAATGGTGAAAAGCCAGATGTTTAGGCAGCTAGGTAAAAAATGGGACATATCACTTAAAATTTAGAACCCTTAAACAGGCTGACGTGTTCGATCACGGGGAATATGTTCATAAAAATAGTGGATTATATGAAAAAATGGATAAAAAGGGGCAGGAACTTAAAACTACTTCATAGATTTATTTCTTCAAGAGCAGTACTTTGATGTCTGCTCTTAAGAGGTGAGGGCTGCAATGTGGGAGAAATCCCTAACATCTGTGGATGCGGCTGACTTGTTTGTACAAGCACAGCTCCCAAAAGAAAGGGCAAAAGCCCATAGTAAAGTAGAAAGGGGGTATTGTTTCTGGGCAGAAAAGGAAGGTGGAGGGGGGACTAAACTCACATCTCCATGGCTGCCTACTAATATCTATCAGACCCAGGCTAAGTGGAAGATCCAAGAAAGCTTTACTTATGTGAATCCCTTAAACACATGAAGCAATGCCCTAAATATGGGGGCCCATGCTCTGGTCTGTCCAGTTATACTGGAGGGTAATACAGTTACCCTCCAGTCAGAGATTTCAGAGGTGGCAGTTATTGTGAATTTTGTCAAGTCTGACAGCCTGGAAGTAGACAAAAAGTTCATTAACCAGGCCAAGGTAAATGGTAAAGTGTGCGAGGGATGGAAAGACACTGGAGCACAGATTTCTTTAGTAAGGAGAGATGTGAGTAAGGAGGCTGATACAATCCTAGGGTAGTTTAAAACCATGGTGGCTTTAGTTCCCAATACATTAGAGTGGAAATTAAAGGGTACTTTGAATGTGGGAGTTCTTAAGAATTTACCAGCTGATGCATTGGTTGGAATGACACTATCTCACTCTCTAAAGTTGTTAATATTATGAACTGTAGAAGAGGGGACTATGTCTCTGAGTTCCCAGAGGTAAATTCTGAGGAGACAGGGATAGCAGTAAGGAGGCAGGTAAGATGCATCTGAGCCCTTATCAGTGGAAACTAGCAA